AGAGGTCCAAATACGTCGACGCCTACTCTGTCGAAGGGTCGTGAAGGCCAAGGTATGGGTCGTCATTTTCCAGAAGGTGGTGCGGTGCGACGTTTTTGCTCTTGACATAAAATACAATATTTCATGTGTTTGGCAACAGAAAGGTAGAGGCTAGGCCAAAAAAACGTTGCCAAATACGAGAATATGTTTCGAATAATCCCAGGTGTCCTGCGGCCGGATCATGACACAGCGAGTGCAGTATCGCGAGACTTATTGAGCGTGGTATCACGAGCACCCAACGATCTCCATCGGGACGGTAATTCTCACGGTACATTATGCTGTGAAGCCGGAAGTGACGTTGGTGGCGTCTGTAACGGCTGTTGGCATGGTTTGACGGTCCATCCATTTTATCAGTAAGTTTTTCGAATTTCAGGTTCTCTGCGCCGTTCGCGCTGTATTGTGGTTATGTCAAGGCTGAAATCCGCAGGTGCATTTGGCTCGATGTTAAGAAGACCCAGAGAAGATTTTATAAGGGGGCAGAGAGATAGAGCGTCTGCATCGCTGCAAAGTGCAGCCAGACTCGTAGGTAAGGGAAAAGTCATATTCCCGAAGACGTAGGGTCCGCCGACCGAGTCAACCGGACAAGTTGTAACCGTGGCAAGCCAGCATAGTGCATTACAATCTGTGACCACGTTAAAATGTCGGCCGTAGAGATAAGGACGAAATTTGCCAATCGCCCACACGACAGCGAGGCATTTGTTTTGCGTGATGGTATAGATGGACTTAGCTTTGCTTAGAGTGCGACTTGCGTAGGCCATAACGTATTCGATCGCACATGGCCCACATTGTAGGAGAACTGCTCCGATGCCGATGTCACTAGCGTCAGTGTGCAGGATGGTTTCGTCGTCGTTGAAGTGTCGAAGAACCGGGTCCGATGTCAGCGTTTTCTTGCGGGTCCTCGAAGCGTCTTCACGAGCGGGTGTCCAAGAAAATCTGGTCTTGCTTTTCAGGAGATTATGACATGGTCTAGCAATTCTGGCAAGACCGCGCGTAGATCTTCGGAAGTACGAGGAGAGTCCCAGTTCTTTCTGTTTTGTTGGCCAGATGAAATCAAACACGGCTGTGATCCCGGTCGGGACGTATACTGTCTTTAGAAATAAAGTGGCCTAATATCTTTATAGCTCTTGCGGCAAATGTACACTTTTTTGTGTTCAATTGTAGGCCGGCCTTGGCAAGGCAAGAAAGTACTTGCGCGAGGTGCTGTGGACGATCTTCGAAGGTGTCAGAAAATAAGGTAGCATAGACATGTTTTCCATTTAAGGCCTCGAAGAATAGCGTCGGTCATTGTGCTAGAAGACGTGGTATAGGCATTTGCAATCGACGTCGAGGTCGTAGTGATCGTAGCAAGCGTCCGCTGTCGCAGCTCCAGATTGAGGCGAATGCGAGAGGTCGGGGATGTCAGAAGGGAACACCTCCACCACCTTGCAAAGACGGGCAGTGCCGGGGACAGATTTATGGAGCGACTGCTCTCGGCAAACACAGACGCCCATGCTCGAGGCGATCAGGGAAAGTGAATAAAGAACAATTGAGAACGGCAGTGATGATGATCATGATGGAGATAAAGAAGGTGTTGTCCTTGAGCATCCTCGCAATATACTGGCTGATTCAAGGAGCGGCCAGGCTCTTTAAATTGTCCGCAAAATTCGGTTTCTTAACCTATCGTGCTACGATTTTGTGCAGCATTGCCCACAGATGGTGCATTTTTTTTTTGGGGTAAAATTTGCAAAGAGCAAACTTACCTGAGGAAAAAGTAAAGAAGGAAAAAGGCTTAGCTCCTATGGAAACGCAGCGAAGCCACCGGTCTTCAAACAATACGGTGCCACTTCGCACGGGAGACAAGAGATGGCGCAAGCGGTTGCGATGCCAACTGCCGCCAACGAACGAGCAGACGACGCCGAGAACCGGCGTCTTTAGCAGACAATCTGTTCGACTCAAAATCGGCGCGCGTTCCGCAGGCACCGACAGTCACAGAAACAAAAACAGGCGTGGTAACAAGAAGGAACTGCAAAACAGACGACATCAGTACCCCGAAAAAAAACAGTCAAAATATCCCGACAAACCATGGTTTTATTAGATTATCTGTCCATTCAATATGTTTTATTAGTAAGGATGATAAAATAATGCATTGGCAACTCATAACAGTAAAGCTCGCGCCGCTTTTGAGTCGAAAAGATTGTCTGCTAAAGACGCCGGCTCTTTGGTGGCAGTTGGCATCACGACCGCTTGCGCCATCTTGTCTCCCGTGTGAAGTGGCGCCGTGTTGTTTGAACACCGGTGGCATCGCTGCGTTTCCATGGGAGCTAAGCCTTTTTCTTTCTTTACTTTTTCCTCAGGTAAGTTTGCTCTTTGTAAATTTTACAACAAAAATGCACCATCTGTGGGCAACTCTGCACAAAGTCGTAGCGCAATAGGCTAAGCAATTGAATCTTGCAGTCCATCTAAAGAGCCTGGCCGCCCCTTGAATCACCCAGTATATTTGAACGCGTCGTAGGTCATCGAGGCACGTGAGTTACACAAAGTAATATATACAAGCTCACACACGGATATAACAAACATACAGAGAAGAAACAAACTTGGTTTGCACGGAAAAGAACACAAATGCATCGATACAGTATTCGTAATGACCTATTCAAACACAATGCTGGATTTGTGAAAGGAAAGAATCTAGATTTTCCAAGGTCACAACCTCTCGGAAAGCTATTCCCTCCTTTTATTGTTCGCGGAAAAAGAAAAATTGGGAAACAAATCGGACTTTGAGGTGTATTCCTGAACTTTCTTGTCACGATCTACTCTGTGGGTTACATAAAATGGCTCAAACAGGTAATGTGGTTAAATGGATAGGTGGGCTAGTCGCTACACGTTTAACTTGTAAAGCGCCTCAAAAAGAAGGGCACGAGGAAGGAGAGACAAGACCAAGCGTTAATATACAACCGAACGTTGATTGAAACACACTTACTACTTGTACACCAATTCGGGCTCCCCACACAAGAAGGCAAACTCTTTTTCAATTAGGTGCACTGAGGGTGCACCTACGCAGCTATCCTCGCCCTTTACTTTTACGCAGTAGGCCTCAAACAATTCTCTCTCAGTTTTGTTTTTGAGTTTTCCAACTCTTATGTTTCGTCAAGATTAGGCGGACACCTATCGCAGTAAATTGCTAGATTACCCAATGGGGAACTTCTAAAAGAGAGGGCATGCTCGCCCTGTCGTTGATGCACCTCCCCGTTTTCTGCAAGTCATAGGTATTTCGTAAACAACTCACGTTGCACATCCAATGTACAGCGCAATGTGTTTCTTGGCTCAAGCCTCAGTTTTTTCTTTTTTTGTTGTTAACTCTGGAGCAGAGACTGGACCATTTTGATGGCGCAAAGAACAGCACGGGCACTTCAAAGTGTGCGGCGACTCTTTATAGGCTGTGGGACAGCCCGTGGACGTGGGGCATTACCACCGGTCTCGTCTTTTATCTCTGCTTCTCCTCCGTTTCTTTAACCTTTCCAACCATGGTTTCTGCAACTTCTTGGAAAAAATGCTCTGGGTAGCCGGCCATTTTAAGGCGTCTCACCCGATCAAGAAAGCTTTCGCCCATGTTATGCTTACACGACTTGTCTAGGGAGGCTGTCATCAACACAATCCCTCGTTTGACTAATTTGGAGTGGGCAGGAAGCCATTTACAATCCCCTGTAACGCCCAATTAGAGTGCAGCTTTTGAGGAGGAGGGTGCTGAGGGGGGGTCATGTGACCCCCCGAGGTCACGTGACCCCCCCCCCCCCCCAGGTCACGTGACCCCCCCTCCCCCGAGATCACGTGACCCCCCCGGGGTCACGTCACTACCCGCAGGTGATGTGACCCCCTCAGTACCCTTCCCTACTCCTCCTCAAGAGCTACGCTCCGATTCGGCGTTACAGGGAGTTGTAAACGGCTTTCACTTTTTATTTCCCCTAACCTTAGCGGGGAATTTTTCCACTAGATTTGGTGGGGAAATTTTTTTCACTAAATTTAGTGGGGAATTTTTTCTGCTAGGGATGTCACTCGTGACGTCACAGATGACGTCACGTGACATCACACGTGATGTCACAAGGACCACCAGTGATGTCACGTGACATCATCATCATTAATTACGTTATGGGTGACGTCACCAGTGATGTCACGTGTGACATCATTGACATCACGCGTCCCATAATGCACTGCGCGGTTACGCCGACGACAACGCCGCTCAAGCCGGAAATGGATGCCTAAGAGTTGCGCTCTAAAAGGCAAAACACCTTTTTTCGATTGTGGTTCCAGCATACGTGGGGCTTGTCGAAGCGCAAGTTTCAATCCAAGAACTGCAGCGGTTTTGACACCATGGTTTGGTGGGGAAGGTGAGGCCGTAGGACTTGTAGGAAAAAACATTGTTCTATCGACGTGGCACAAGCTCGGCCACGCCATCTGACATTCCTTCCGGGGACTGCCACAGCAAGGAAACGGCTCTGGGAGCTCACAAATTCACCCCAGAGGGGGAGGTGCCAATTTTCTGCCACGCATTCAATACAGAAACAGAACCAACAACCTCGTTCGATCGTCTCACTTTCAGTTGGAGGAAAGCTCGCGGCGTACTTTGATCCCTCTGATTGGGAGACTCTGACAAGTTCCTCCCTAGGGAACGAAATCGGCGGAGTCTTGACTGGCATTGCCCCTGCGGCCCGACCGTAGCCGTCCAACTTCTTGCCCTCCGAAACATTCTGAGCCTTCCCTCGAAAACCCTTCTCTCCAGCGACCGCCTGACGTCCACCGTCGGTGTCCCCCAGCCTCGCTTCTTGCATTCCGGCTGTCCCCAAGTGCATTTTACGTCGGTGCATTAGGCGGTGCACTTTTTCTCACGGAAACTCCGCCCGAGTGCAGGGTGTTGCTGCGCGGTTGGCTGCCTTAATGAGCGAGGGGAAGAACATTGTCCCCCGGGGAGAAAGGAGGGACCCACTCACATGTCGGTGTCGACGTGCTTGAGGCGCACCGTGGCCCCCCGCTCCCAGAAGTCCGAGCTGCACACCACCGTCCAGTTGTCCCCTGCGCACAAAGCCTGTCTCAGCCGGCTACTCCGGGCCACCGAGTTCTCCCAACGCCCACCAGAGGTCCGGCCGGCCTTAGCACGCGCCTTCAGACAGAGTCGGGCGACCACTGGTCTAAGACCGACTTTCGGCGATGCATTTCGACGGGAAAAGAAGGGTGCAGTTTCTTTTCGCGCTCGATTATGAGCAAACATTACCGAGAACTCTTAGGAAATAAGTAGGTCGGAACGTTTCTCGGTCGCGTGGACGCAAGCACTGGTCGACAGACCCTTTTGGAAAGTCTGCACCAACGCACGTCCGCCGTTGCTCGCTCGCATAGTCGGAGCCCGCACCGGACGCGACGGCCATGTCCGCGTTTGGCGAGGACTCGGATCCAACCGAGCGCTTTGCGAGTGAGCAACGGCGACCGCCCCAATGTTGCTTTGTAGACTTCCCAAGAGGGTCTCTTACTATTTGGTTTTCACAAACATATGGCAATAAAGGGCGCACAAAAATAGCTTTTACGTGCATTTACGTCCGCTGTCCGACACCGTGGCCACAAACGCGGAGTCTGCGCTTTTCTGCAAAGAGTTTACTCGCCGTAGAATAAAGGGCATCTCGAAAATAAAGAGGCGGAAAACTGCGCACTGACAGCGAATCCGTCTGCCTCCGCATGGAGATGATCAAAATAAAGGAAAAGCCGAGCGATTTGTGCCATTTGCGAGAAATAATAGTCTCTTTATTCTGTCTGTTCTCGTAAAAGTGCGAAGGTAGCTTTGTCCTATAGCATCCAAAATGTCGCATCCGCTTGCTCGAAAACTTTGAAAATGGAGGAAAGCGAGAAAAGTCTTAATGCCCGATAAAAGTGGTGCAATAAGAAAAAGAGAAACACCCCTTTCATGGTCTACTTACTTTCACTACTTTACAAGTTTTTAACCGCTCGTAAATGGGGGTCATTTTAGTGGCACGTACATCTCGCAAATTATTGAACTGAGCGTCGCCGAGCCGTTGGCGCACCTTGAAAGGCCCTACGCTCTTTTCAACCATTAATTTCGCTCGGATTCATCGCTCGTCTTTATGTAGCTGCTACGAAATGTAGGATTGGGCCTGCCCTACTGCAAAGTTAAATGTCACTCCCGGAAAAAATACCGCACTAAAGCAATTCTGCTTTTATAATGCTAATGAAGTTGCCTTCTATTCGATCCAAGAAACAAAGGTGATTACTGTTAGCCTCTCGTGAAGAGAAGCTTCTTCCCCGAGGGGTGCGTAGGAAAAATGGACCCGTCTGCTTCCATTGGAACCCAAAGTCCAATGGGAAGAGCGGGACCTCCGAAGAGCCCAGGCGTGCGCACCTGTGTCTCCCTCGCCGGAGTCCCCAAAGGCGCTGATCTCCTGGTTGTTGGAGAGCGGCGACACAAAGTGGTGGCTGTGCAGGTTCTTGTGGGTCGTCAGGTGCTCCAGGCGCACCGTAGACCCACACGCCACGGGCTCCCTGCAACCCACCTTCGGTTACGACGAGCAAGCGGGGCTCCAGTTCCCCCTCTCGTCCTCCCTCTTTTTGCCACAGCTCACTCTCGCTGACCGCGTTCAACCGACTCGCCCAACTACGTCGGCTTTCGAGTCTGGTCTGTCCATGCATAGTGTTTAAACGCGTAGAAATAGTCGAATGCCATTTGTGCCCACTGGGTATCATCCATTTCGGTTAACCTTTCCACGAATTCCAAATCTGCGCTCCAAAGGACGACTGGCCCGTGTCTCCCTGCACTCCCTCCCTCGGTGCGTTCCCGTGCTCTCCCAAAGCCAATCTGCCCACGCTCCTTCGTTCAAATTCGGATCCCAACCGAACCTTCCCATCCGATGTGAGGTGCCTTATTGCCAAAAGGCAGTCCCGGTACCATCCCTCCTTTCCATACACCCCTGACCGCTTTGCATCTCTCGTGGTTCCATGGTGTCTACAGCTTCATAACAGCTGAATTACTTCTTCTATCTCTGTTCCTCCAGGTATTTCCTTCCCTCATTGAGCCATACTCCCAGATGTTTGTCTTCTTACAGATTGTCCATCATCTTCGGGGGTTCTCTTTTCGTCATCAAAGGCCAACCTACAGAATCGTCCTCTGCCGGAAAGGAAACTGGTTCCCAGTTTTCCCTTCTCCTGAGGGGGTATCTGAGCTACTCCCCGCAGAAAGGAGGAGGGTCCCTCTCCATCTCCAATGGAAAGGAGGAATTCAGGGAAAGCTGCCTCCTTTATGGCTCTTAGTCGGCCTTTAAACAAACTTTGTCAAACCTGGATGGATGATAATGGCTGTACCCTTTATAACGGGCAATAGCTTGCGCCATCTAGCCTACGAACTGAAGACCCAAAGTCCTCCCTTTGCCCTTGTAAGCCAATTTGTTTCCCCTCTGCAATTTTGCAACTCTCACCAGGCAGTGTGGGATATCACCAGGATGACTTTGGGGGATCAGGCAAAAGATCTGAAAACATCACCCCCTCACCGGCGAGGGAGTCGCCAAGTTTCCTCTCGTCAAACCTAGTCAGTGTTACCCCGGCGCTGGGCCCCCACTGGGAGACGGGGTTGAGAATATGGGACGGAGCTAGGCGACAGGGAGTCCCCATTTTTCTCTGTACCACCTGTCCCCAGCTGATAGTCGTACATAATTCTATTCTCCCTGTATAATTTTCACCAGTCTTCTAATCTCCTCTTGGCTATTCAAATGCACTTATCATCCATTCTTCCATTCTCGCCTGCAAACTCCGGTGCTCCGGCTAAATCCGCCTCCCCCTCCGGAAGGGGGACAGATTTAGCCCTGTGCACCTCAACCCCACATGTGCTATCGTCTTCCACTTGGCATAGAGCACACTGTATGTCCATTTTCTCACACTTTGTCCCTAGTCCTCAATACTCCCGTTCTAGCCTTAAATAATGAACTCCCCCGTGATTTATCGTGCCAATGTTCCTTCCTTAGTTCCTGTCCCCTGTGCATAGTTGAAGCTGATTTTCCCTGCATCCTTTCCTCCCACATCTTTCTCTTGACTTCTTTTCCCTGCTTTTCCACAGAGGTAGTCTGTTCTGCCCCAGCACTTGACTGTTGCTATTTGAATTTCAATTTTCGAATTCGGTCTGTCCATTTAGTGTCCACACCTTTCATGTATACATGTTTATTAACCTTTCTCGTACATCGTGTATCCTCAATTGTGTCTAGCCTTTGTTCAAATTTCAACTTACTGGTCGCCTGTCCAGCCTCGAAAGATGCCCAGCCCATGTCTCCCTGTGCTCCTTCATTCAATGTATTCCCATGCATCCCCAGTGCCAGCCTGACCACGCTCCTCTGCCAAGTCTCTAAACTCGACTGGACCTCAGATTTCACGCATAATACTGCGTTGCCAAAAGACAACTTTGGCAGCACGACTCTTTTCCATATTCCACTGAGAACTTCATTATAATTCCATAGTGTCCTAAGCTATCATAACTGCTGCATTCCCTTTTCCTTTCTTTAGCACAATTTCTTTCTGTTCTTCTAAGTATTGTTTTCCCTCATTCAGCCATACTCCTAGGTATTTATGCTTCTCGGCGTGTTCTATTAAGGCATATTGAATGTCCAGTAGGTCCCCCATCTCATCGTTATAAGCCGTCATACCCGGCTTGCTGCTACTGAATTTCAGGCCCAGAGAGTCTCCTACCACTCTAGAGGTCTTAATCAGCTACTGTAAACTATCCGGTTATCTGCTAACAGTGCAATGTCGTCTGCATAGAACATTCCGGCTATAACTTCGCGTACTTTTTTCATACTCTTCATATACGACACAACGAAACCTAGATTGCACTCATGGATGGGTTGATCGATGCTAACGGCTGTATTCCTTATATAGAGCGGTAGCTTGCGCCACTTGGACTAGAAACTAAATACCAAAAGTCCTCCCTTCGCCCTTCTAAGCCAATTTGCTTCCCCCGTGCAATTTCGTAACTCTCACCAGGCAGTGTGGGATATCACCAGAATGACCTTTGGGGTATTGGGCAAAAAAACTGAGAGATCACCCCCTGGCGATCGAGTGGCCAATTTTCCTTTGGTTGAACCTAGTGAGCGTTACCCCGGGCCCACTGGGAGGCAGGGTTGAGACTAGGGGCCGGAGCCACACGAGAGGATTCTGTCCAGATTTCCGAACGACCGCTCTCCCGGAGGCTCTGTGACTCACCCCCTCGGGCAGCTGCCACCTCGCTTGGCCTTGAGCACCCAGTGGCTGTTGTTGTCGTCCATCTGGTCGGTGCCGGTCACCGACTGCGTGCGATGCCCCGTCAGCCACAAACCGAGCGTCGGGGAAGCCACCCACCTGTTGGCCGCTGCCGGAGCCGTACTTGATGTCGTGCGAGTGCAGGCGCACGCCGTGCTCCGTGTTCTGCAGTTTCAGCACCGACCCGCACGTCACGTAGCGCAGCTCTGCGGGCGAACGAGCCATGTAACCAGGGCCTCGGCAGTCCGGGCCGCGCGCCGATAGATCGATTGCATCGAAAGCTCGTGTTGTGGAGATTTCCGTTTGGGTGAGCACCGAAGCGCGCTCGCGTCATCACTACCGCGCCATCGATGCACGTTAAAAGAAGGACTGCGCTGGATACGGGGCTAGACCAGTGTCACCATTTCTCCGGAGTAGATCGACCTCTCGCTATATAATAATCGCGACGCTTGGCTCTGTAGCCGAAAGGGTGAATGAATGCGTTTGCTCGGTCGCAAGCGGGGGAAGTACAAGCGGTACGAGTAGTACGTGTACACGCAGTGCACACGACGGTAATTTTCTCACCTCCTTGGACGGACGAAAGAAAATTTACAATAAGAATAAATAGGGCGCAAAGTTGGCACCACGACATGCTCGTAGTGGGCGCCGCCATGCTCGTAAACACACGTCATCTTTTCGCTTTCTGCGGCATGTTTTGAGGTGCCACTTGGCTTGGCTAGACCTGTGTCTACGAGCCATTCTCAGAGTCGAAACTGGCGCCAAACCGGCCAAACCCGCGTCTGGCCAAGTTGAGCGGTCGCTGGACTGGCGCTCCTCGCTGCGCCGGCCACCCTGGGTGCTCGCCTTCGCTCGGTCTGGTGGCAACTTGGAAGTGTCGTCGGTGTTTGTTTTTTTTCTTTTTCGGAGTGGTGTCTGCGGCTCTGCGGTGCCGAAAAGTGTCCGATGGAGGGAATAGACGTTGTTCGAGCCGACGGCACTGCCGCCAGCTGAGGCCATGCAGTAGCGGGCGGCCCGAAGACGCGCTGTCGGGGCAGGGCAGCGCCGTCGCGAACACCGGGGCCGTGACTCAGAAGGGATGCTAAGCCTCGTCCCGACCTGAACGCCGACGTGAGGCCCGTGTCGCGGCTGGCCTTCGCCCGGGCCACGAGCCAGCGATGGATTACGACCACGACACGGCGGAGCTGACGCCCGTCGACGAGTACGACTTTGCCAAGGTGAGGAGGTCCGGGCCCCGGGCACGTACGGAAACGGCGAGTGGGGCGCCGACCCCGTCGCTCGCTCGGCCCTCTCTCTGAAAGTCGAGCGGGCTGCCGAGGGCTGCTACGCCGGCGTGGCCGCCGGCCTCGTGTGGAAGGAGGCCTTATTTGGGCATTCCGGGCGGCGGCCACGTCGGTCAGTGGGCCTGCCCTCCGGGGCGACGTGTGCGACGGCCCCATTCACGGGGCCGCACCCCCGTAGGTCCACTGCCTCGGCGGGGCAGCCAACTGTCATGCCTCGAAACCGAGGGCGTGCATCGCACGGAGCCGCATTGCCCGACGTCCGGACGTCCACTGCCAATCCCAACTCGCGCGATCGGACGCCGCAGTAGAGATCATCGTCGTAAAATGTGCGATCCCCTGGCACAACAGGAGGTATACGGACGTCATATACACCAGCTCACTCGCGCCCTTACCTTCTGCTCAATAGTATGTATATGCGTCTTTCAATAGCATCGCTAATGGAGGCCTCCAATACCGCTGGTCTGGGACAGTGCTCCAGCGGCGCACTAGAACTGTGCTGATCTGTCGGGGGGCTCTTGCAGCTGTAGAGCGTTGGCCGAATCTTCCTCCGCTGCCGTAGCCACAGGTGCCCAGCGACGAGAGATGACATCTCTTACGTTGGGTCTCGGAGGGATTTTCTGTCCTTCGACTCGACAGCACCCACTGCTGCCAATCAACCTTGAGTCTCCATTTCAGGGGTTTTTCTTGGCCGCCAAATTATCGTAGAAGCCAGGAAAATTTGATGCTCTATCCGCAGAATTAGTGGTCACTGAAACAAGCTTTCTCCTGAAGCGAGAAAAAAAAAAAAAATATGTCGCCAAAAATAATGCAGCCTCGAATGAGATCCCTTTAAGCTCACTTCAGACGGGGCAATTTTTCCCACCCAATTGACGTCATTAGCAACACGGGTCACCCGCATTCACACGGAGCAACTGAATTTGTACGATTTGCCGTCATTGCTTAATTTCCTCGCACTATTTAGACACGCGGTTGTGCGCTATACGCTTGTTTTCCTATCTGTAATCAAATGTCATTGAGAATACTCACTCATCTTTCTGAAACATTATATTCCCCAAACTATTCCTTTCAAACCAGGACCAAATGTTTAGTTGTCATCATCACCACCACGGGGGTGTCACGCGAAATATTGTATCTGATTGGGTGCTGCTGCTTCAGGCATCTCCGAGTTGCTCGTCCATTTTGAGCCAGGCTCGATGCTTGGGAACAACCCGCCAGCAACGTAGAAAATTGCCGAGAAGGCGTCCAAAGCTGGCCTTACCTTGCTGGCTCTCCCGGAGACCTCTAACGCCTTACAAGTTATACGGCGAGTGAAGCTTGGCAGAGCTTTCTTGTCCAACCTGCGAATATCTCCAGTCACAAATGGTTTTTTTGCAAGGTTCGGTGTATTGGGCAGGAGATCGAACTATAGGGGGCGCTCTGACCCGTTTGTTTTCCCCACGCTTGGTGTTTACTCAACACAAGGCCTGGCACATGCCAACAGGCCTTATGGGCATGGCCATGTCATCTTCTACAATAGGGCGCGGCGCGCAGTTTAATAAAAAAAATACTAACAATCGACGAAGCGACGTTAAGTGCCGGATCTATCCTCAGAGAATGTGAGCTTGACCCACTTCGGCTTTTGTGATGAGCTGGGATCGTGCATGCTGCATTGTTCATGCAGGCCGAGTGGAAACAGAAGAGCCCCTCCTCCCCTTCGCCGGAGGACACGAACTCCAGCCGAACGCTGACGCCGCGTTCGGTTATGTCGGCCGAACGGTGCGTCATTTTATTTGTTGTCCCCATCCGTGTAGTTGTTAGGTTAACCGCTTGGGGCGTCACGGTCTGTCCTCCTCCCCAATACGTGGCTTGCATTGTCACGTCAGCCGCCATTGCTCCATATCATGTTCCACTGCCCATACTATCGCAATCAATAGGAGTGCGAACACTGCTCAGCGTGGCTTGCTGTACTATCGGTGCCCCCTGTTGATTGCTCTTCGAAGTAAAGTGCACCTTGCAGTCGAGACATATCGTCTCTAGTGATCGGTGCACCACTCTGCACTTCCGGCTCGTCTGCTAGCGAAAAACGGTCGGCGAAACCGCAGAACTGTTCACCAATGACGAAGAGCATTTTTCGCTAGCAATGTGCGCCGGGAGAAATTACTCGAATAAATATTTTTAGGGTCATCGTTTTGATAAGGAAGTTTTACTAGATTATTCCCACGACTCCGATGACAAGACCCGATACTTCACCGACGCCTGTAAGCATGCATCATATTGTTCCCGGAGGTATAAAAACTATCAACTGCGACTGCCTATTATTTGCTTTTGCTCGTGTTTTGCGAGGGCAAAGGACAACCAATGTGCACAGGCAAGAAGTTAGCGCGGTGCAAGTGTGGATGATGCCCTTCATCGAGGAAAACAGCGCGAAAAAAATGACAAGGATGTTCGGTGTGTTTCTTCTACGTCTTCGTCGTTTTTTTTTCGCACTGTTTTCCACGATGACCCACGCTTGCACTGCGCTAACTTCTTGCCTGTGCGCATTGGTTGTCCTTTGCTCTCGCAAAACACGAGCAAGAGCAAATAATAGGCAGTCGTAGTTTATTGTTTTTTTACCTCCGAGAACAATATGATGCATGCTTACAGGCGTCGGAGTATTGGCTCTTCTTATCGGAGTCATGGGAATAACCTACTAAAACTTCCTAATCAAAACGATGACCCTAAAAATATTTATACAACTTATTTCTCTCGGCGCACATTGCTAGCGAAAAATGCTCTTTGTCATTGGTGAACAGTTTCGCGGTTTCGCCGGCTGTTTTTCGCTAGCAGACGAGCCGGAAGTGCAGGGTGGTGCGGCGATCGCTAGAGACGATATGTCTCGACTGCAAAGTGCACCGATACTTCAAAGAGCAATCGACAGGGGGCACTGATAGTGCAGCGGGCCAGGCAGAGCGGTGTTTGCACTCCTATTTGTTGTGACCTTTTGCGGCATACATTTGGCACCATCGACTCTGTTCTTCTCCGCAAGGCTTGCAAAGAAGAACAAATTAGATTTTGCAAAATGTCTGCTACATAAGGTATGGGCACAGGAGCGTGGCGGCTGGTACGGTGCCATATGACGTCACACGCAAGGCATGTGTAGTGCTGGTATTTCTAAGATAAGTCCTGAGTCGAAGGACAGGCTTGTGCACGGAGGTGCCATCACGCAGCAAACGACTGGCCCTTCGGAGCATCGGCAGGAAATCCGGAAATGAGAGATGCTTCCCCTGGTGCATGCAGAACTCTGTGCATAAGCACTCAAAGTATCTCGCTGCACAATTGACACAATGTTCCGAGTCTCTTTGTGCATGTCCTCAGATTGAATCGCACTGTACATCTAGGAGACTGTCAGTTGGCACTGCAGAAAGATGGCACCATCCATATTCTTTCTGCGGGGCAGTTGTGGTATCCCAAGGACATTGGCCATGTATCGGAATACTGCCCCCTGGAACAAGGCTCCCTTGACAGATAAACCAGAGAGGAATATTTACTTATACTCCTTAGTATACGCCCCATAAACAATGAAGTGAACTGTCAAGACTTCTCCATTTATGCTGTAACGTTTCCATCTGTTTATCCCTCTTAAAGAACAATTCAACTGCAACTCTAGGAATATAGATGAAATGCCTGAAATCATAGCTCCTTATTTGGTGAGATGTAAAAATGACACTAAAGTGACAATCATTAGCAAACTTTCCCGTTTCATTCATTACACTTAGAAAACAAAGGTTTTGCTGTTCAAAGTGTTCCTCATGAGCTTGACCGGATTCTACTTTCTGTAGTGTTTTCCTTTGCGGTGGGATTTTAGCCAAGTGCTTCGGATAATTTATTGGCTATAGACACTAAATCGTGCGAGTTAATCTAGGATAAAGTACAGCAGCACATGTGCGTGAATAGGGATTAAATGTTACTGTACAAATGCAATGCATGTGTTTGTTGCTGCCAGAAAATCTCGTTGGCAGTGATGCGATTGCTGCATCATTTGCTACATTTCACCAAAATGTTACTAATTTGTGCAACAACTGAATTATGCTTTAATAATACTGAAACTATAATAGCTCGGTCCCCTCTTCACGGCCGGACAGTTATAATGTGGCTGTGTGAATTTTCTAGGTTATTGCCTCAAATCACGTACTACCAGATTTGACGTCTATCAGACACAACACTTGGTAGTCTCTCATTATTCCTCATGTTTGTGGTCTGTTGTGGTGGGTTGGTTTGCCATTTCTTAACCCTTTCAGTGCTGAAGACGACCTCAGCTCGTCCACCACTTAGGTACCACTTTTCCTGAAGACGAGTACAGCTCGTCCAGGGTCCTTTTTATTGGTACAACATTCCTGAGGACGTATTCAGCTCATGTGCTCTCGAAGGTTCACAGAATGGCCAATAGATGACGCAAAAAGTCAGAACAGGCGAGACTAGCT